AGTGATAGCAGCAATTGTGTGGTAGCGCTTATTGCATTGGTTGCTGTGACGGTCTTTGTTGCGGTAATGCTGAACCAATGGCTTCTGAGGTATCACAACAGGACAGCATCCAGCTGTTTAAATGAAATGTGTAATTACTTAGGTCTTGATCTGAAAGGATATGGTCCTGATCTTGACGTAAAGGCCTGTAGCCTTAAACCCGAACTGAAAATCTGTTTTTCTTACTCAGACTTGATAATCTGTGATCATAGTCTAACCTGGAAAACTGCAGCCCTGATTCTGAACTAAATATTTATGGTCCTTGCTCTGACTTAAGAATCTGTGGTCCTTACCTGACCTAAAAACCTGTTCTTTGGTCTTGATACTGATCTGAAAATCCGTGGCTTTCCTCCTGACCCGAAAACGTGTGATCCTAATTCTGAACTAAAAACCTGTGTTCATGGCCTTGACCTAAAAAACTATGATCCGGATCTAGAATACTGTTGTTTCAGCTTGAACCTAAGAACCAATGGCGTTTTTTCTTACTCGAGAAACTTGTGGGCCTAATACTAGCCTAGAAATCTAAAAAATTGCCCAAATTCCGACTTAAAGTATGTCACATAACCCCTAAAGAATCACTGATTGCCGTGGAAGTTGCGTTTCTTGTACTAATGGTAGTATTTTTCGTAGCAGTTGTACTAGCTTCGAATGATGCTCAACGTGTCTTTTCTTCAACAGTGGTAACTGTAAAAGTTTCCACTACTACTGTGGTAGTGGTGAAGGTAGTATTGCTAACGTTTGTTTAGCAGTTTCGGAAGTTCTGGTTGCTGCGATAGAAGTCGTAATTGCAAGTTAAAGCAGATAATTATTTGCACAAAATTCAACCGGTGTCGATTGCAGTGGTTTCGAAGTGCTTCCCAGTTGTTAGATTGAGCAAAGAAATTTATGCTTTTATTATGTGGTCAACGCGGAAACATGTTTTCTTTCCCTCTCACGTCGCATTTCACTTTCATTTTAATCTTACTTTTACAAGCCGCAATTCGCTGCTCCCTTCTTCAGCTCTGCATCTGGTACTTTTCCAGTAGCTTTGACCCATGCTGCACTGCCTGATGGTCAGTTTGCCGATGGCCAGCTTCCTTGACCGGATGATGCTACCAAGTAAATTTCTTTTGCTAAAAACAAATTTATTTTGCTGTTGTGAAAATAATCATCTGTGGTTTTGGAGGTGCGTTGGAGCTGCAAGAGGAATTCCTGGGGTGGTGTATCGTGGAGGGTTGGAATCGAGACGAAATAGACCGGATGTGCGCATGAATGCCACCTACACTGCACACGGGAAGGCTTGAATTTGATTTATTTCTTTTTTTTTTTCTTTCCCTCGTTTCGTTAAAATTCATAGTTCCCCTCCGCCCGACATCCTTCACTCTCTTCCGTCTCATCTTCCTCGTCATCAAGGTTTATAATATAATCAATTACACATTCACTGATTTCGATCTTTATATAGCAATACTGGCAATGGTTTGCGGTAATTTCGAGCGCATTTTAGGATGGCACATTTTCAGGTGTCTGGTAAAATTATATCGCAACATCT